CTGCGCCACCAGGGAGGGCCTAGAAACCATCTTTTAAGAAACAAATTCGCTGAAAGAATGAGAACCTAATGGACTCCAAATGCAGGAAAAATGGAGACTTAGGAGAAAGGGAAAGCCATCAGACAGCTACATGGCTTAAGCCAATGAGAACCTTGCTACTTCAGTGTGTTCTGAGTACCAGAAGGAGTGGAATCACCTGGGAACTGCACAGAAATGCAGAATCTTGTCCCCCAGCTCAGCCTTACTGATGCATATCCATCCAGGTGACTGTTTGCACATCTGAAAAACACTGAATTGAGAGAACTTCCTCCTTCTGCTTATTTCCTACAGCTTACTATACACAGCTGTCTCTGCCAAAAGTGAATACTTAATATTATTTTAAAATATCTGAGTTTGGGAGCCTCCCTGGTGACACAGGATTAAAATCTCAGCATTATCAAACTGTCACCAGCTACTGCAGCATGAGTTCGATCCCCGACCAGGGAGGTGACCCACATGGTGTGGCAGACCTCTCCTGTCTTGCCCATTGCTCCCCTCAGCAGGGTATTTCAGTAGGGAGCCTGTCCTGCTCCCTATTCTATCTCTGGTGAATCTTCTCACTCCCCCTGCCTGCTTACCTCTGGCCTACACTCTGATTCTTGTATGCATAAATCAGTAGAATAAATCTTTTAAAAAATTTTTGAGAACATACTAGAAGCCAGGTATTTGATGCCTCAATTAAACCCTCAACCCACAGACTAGTACTATTACCTTGTTTTATTATTATCCATTATCAAGGATGAGAACATTTGTTCTTATAGAACTCAACTGACTTGCTCAAAGTCACACAACCAAGAGGTAGTACAGCTGGGACTAAGCATTGAAAGTCTACTGTAAGTAAGACTAAACTTCAAACAATCTGGCTATACTGCCTTCCTATGTGAAAAGACTGTTTGTCCTGTCTCCTTCAGATTAAGTGGACAATGCTTAGAAAATAGCAAGAGCTCTAAAAATTACTAATCCAAGATTTTGTTTGAGAAAAGTTGACTTTCTAAATTAGGGTTGAAAAGTTAGAATGAGGCACTTGAGAAAAGATCTAGTCTTGGAATTAGAAAGGTCTCAACAGTACCTATCTCTCCAACTCATCAAAATTTATTTCAATTTCACACTGCACAGCTGTGTGAATAATGCAGTATGCCTATCGGTTGCTAACATTAACTTTCTTCCTAAAGAGCTTTCCCCCCAGCACAATGGGCAATACATGCCTCCCTTACCAGTCCAGAGGGGGTGGGGGCCTGTGCCTGTTCCAGAAGCCAGTGGAGATGGGCCCCCAAGCTCACCTCCCTCCAGTTGTGAGATCACAGCAGGTTTGAGAAGTGGAATTCCTGTTTTGGGGGAAGGAAGCAGAAATAGATGGATTATCTCCCACAGATGAGTTCCCAAGCTTCTTCTCAGATTATCTCAGCAATAGAGAAGGAATGTAAAAGCCCCAGGGAGTCCTGCCTAAGGAAATGGGGAGTGGGGGTTCTTGGGAAGGTGGTGGAGAAAAGTTGAGAAAGGCCCAGAAGGCTTCAAACAGGGCAAACAGAGAGATTCTGCCCAAAGAGTTAGAATATTTTCTTTTCTTTCTTTCTTTTTTTTTAACCTCAGCCTAAAATACATGAAATTCTTGGAAATACTTAAGAAATGCAGGCAGGTTGAGGGGGGATCTCATGATAACACTGGGCAGAACAAGAAGTTTTCACACTATATATAAAACACAGTTTTATAAAGTGGATTGGAAGTCCACAGAGTCCCAGCAAAGTCCTGTGTTGGCCCAAAAAGATGTGTGATCCATCATTCCCACAGCCCCTAGGGTTCACACTCAGTAAAGGATTACCAGAGATCCCCACATACAATCTGTAAGGGGAAGCCCAGGCAGAATCTGGGTCATCAAGGGGGAGAGCCCTTACCCAGGGAGGCCACATTCCCATAATTCTCCAGCATCACATCCCTGTACAGGGCCCTCTGTGCAGGGGACAGGCCATCCCACTCCGTCTGGGTGAAGTACACTGCCACATCCTCGAAGGTCACCGACTTCTGAAACAACAGGTTCTTGCTGCCCTAGGGCCAATTCCATGGCTCAGGCCCTAAGTGAGGGGCAGAGGGCAGTATAAGGGCTTGGGGAGGGGCTTGTAAGGAGTGCAGAATTAGTAACTGTGTAAGAATTAAGAAAAAGCATCTGAAAAGTAAACCCAGAATATCTGACTCCTCTAACAGCAGAGAACATTGTGCTATTTTATTTTACATTTATAAAAGATAAGGTAAGTTAGGATGAAAAAAAAAAAATAAATTAATTCTCGTACCCGAGTTCCCTAAAGCAAGTCCACTCTCTGAGGTAGGCCAGGCTCTCCCTGGCAGAGGCAGCTCAGCACCCACCTGCCACCCGCATTCTCACTTCATCCGCTGGAGGTCTTGGCTTCTCCATCCTGCTCCCAACAGCCTAACCTCATCTGCTCCCCACATCTTAACCTTTCCCACAAACCTTGAGCCATTTCCAAAGAATAGCCATGGCTTCCATTGGTCTTAACCAATCCCACCATCAGAGACACCCTCCACATTCCACAAGAGGCAATGTAGCCTCAGCCCCTGTACCTCCAGACACTCAGTGCCCAGATGGGCTGGGGAAACAGTCCCATTTTGCTCCTAGATGAGTCTCACTGAAAGGCCAACATTTTCTGTTATCCTCTCCTAGTCAAGTCTCACCCTTTCCAGCTACATGCTAGAGTTCTCTCTCTCCAAGACAGACCACCTTCCTACTGGCCTGCTACTCGGCCACCCTTACTGCTTGTCTTTGCCATGCAATGTGGCCAGCACAGGCTGTCACTCAGGGCAATGCCGCCTGCTGCTCCCTGGACCAACTCTTCTCTCCCAGCACCTGGAACAGACTCTGGCTGCTCTCCCTCTGCCTACCTCAGCCTTCTGTAAAAACCTGGGGGATACACCCATGGGGATTTACTTGCCTCTCCACTCCTCTGCTGGGATCTGCTTTGCTTGATTGTCCTACTCCCACCCATCAACAATTCTGATACAACCTCTGCATGTTTCTAGGGAGTCAATTTCTGGGTGACCTTACACAGAAAATGAAATGCCTCCACTGCACACTGCCACCTGAGTTGTTTACCTGTAAGCAACTCCTCCTGAGTAGAAGGAGGAGGTGTACAGAGAGTTTAAGTTTGAATGACTGTACCCCAAGTCCTGAAAGCCTCTGTAGGACACAATGAGACAGCCTGTCCCACAGATAGGACTTCCTTTCTTTTCCCTGTCCCTTGATCCCACATCCCCTCCTCCCAAATTAGGGGGACAGCATCCTTCATGCTAGTCAGCTCCTGCTGTTCCTCTTCCTCACCTGTCACTGGCGTGCAGCCTCTGTAATGCTCCCCAACTCACATCCACTCATATTTCCTCTTTATCAGGGCAGCAAAGAACTCCAATACAAAGAAGGCAACACTCTGTCTTCAGGCACGCTCTTCTCTGCCTGATTCCCACCCCCCATGTCACCAACTGTCCCCAAAAATTCTAGTCTAGCAGGCAAAGTGTGGAGGCCCCCTCCAGCTTTCAGCACAAGCCTAACGAGATTCTCTTTTGTCTTCTTCCATTTGAAACTGCTCAGAGGAAGGACCCACAGCTCACCTGGGGCCAGGATGTCAGGAGCGTGGCTGCCATCACTTGGCCTCCCTCTGAGAAAAGGGCTGCACTGAAGCTGAGGAAAAACAGAGACACAATGTGAAGCAAGTCACCACCACCAGGAACATGACAGTCCTTCAGAAGACCTGAGCCATGTGCATCTAGAGAGGAGTATGAACAGAAGCTGCCACAGGAAGGGAGTAAGCTGTTCTCTGGTTCAGTCCCCAGATTCCTCCCAGCCTGACAAAGCATTGCCAGCAATAGGACAATTTGTGTGTGTGCCGAAATAGAATGTAGACCAGAGGAATAGATTCACCAGAACAGGCAGATGTACTGAAATACAGTGCTGAAGGGAGCAGCAGGCGAGACAGGAGAGGTCTGCTGCACCATGTGGGTCAGCTCCCTGGTCAGGGATCGAACTCAGGCTACAGTGGTGATAGTGTTGGGACTTAACCCCCAGGCCACCAGGGATGCCCCAGCAATTTTTAGATCACACACAAGTGTGTACATACAATGTATGCAGGGTCTGAAGAGTAGTAAACAAGGACTCATATAGCAATGAATCAGCTCAAGAAACAGCATAATCGAGGTCGACTGACTTTCATTCCTGGTTACAGAACAAGAGAAGTGGAGCTACAGCCCCAGCACAGAGGCCCTAGAGTTAGGCCCCAGAGAGGCAGCACCCAGAGAAGGGCATGGCTGCTTCCCACATGCTGCCTGTATGCCTCCCTCCAGCCTCCACAGCCGAGTATCTTCAAGAGCCCCCAATGCCTCTGCAGAGATCTCGGGTGGTCTGCTTCCCAAACAACCCAGGCTTACCATGAGGAAGCTGGGCCAGAAGCACAGTACCAGGCTGGCTCCTCTGGCTGGCTCCAGAGCAAGACTGGCTGCCTGAGAAGGGATCACTACAGCACCTACGGCCCCAGCATCCAGCGCCCCTTGCTCATTATAGTCAAAACACATGGACTGATCATCTGATTTTACTCCATCTGAAGTTGCCTTTGAAAGTTTTGTATTTTCCTAAAATATTGTATTTTTCAGAATTTCAACTTCAGTGTAGTCACAGAAAACACTGGTTCATGGTTTTCATTTCCTCTGTACCCAGAGCTACTTTGCTTTTTCTACTTCTTTTGAATGTATGTACTTCCTAGACTTTTCCCCTTGGTTAATGTTATCCATTGGAAGTATCCCCCAAATTCACATGCAAAGCCCTAATCCCACTTGTGACCACATTTGAGGATGGACCCATGAGGAGCTAGAAAGTTAAATGAGGTTGTGTGAGCGGGGCCCTCCTCTTACAGGGCTGGTGCCCCTATAATATAAGGAGGCACTCAGCACTCTTGTCTCCACCCTGAGAGGACACAGCAAGAAGGTGGCAGTCTGCTACCCAAGGAGATGGTTCTCACCAAGAACCAAACTGTCTGGTACCCACATCTCAAACTGACAGCCTCCAGAACTGTGAGAAATAAATTTCTTTTATGTTGGTCTCTGATATTTTGCTACAGCTGCCTGTGTAGACTAATAGTTAGGTCAAATTAATAGTTAATCTATATTAATATTGTCCCTTTTTGTTTTCAAAGAACCAGCTTCTCTATTGATTTGAACACCATTCTTTTCTCCTGTTTTTAATTCATTGAGTTCTTAGCTCGTTTTCCCCAGATCTGTAATAGACACCTCACATGCCACTCATAATCCTCTTGTCTGCCTCTCAGTCCACTTCAGAAGTCAGTGGATAAATATTTTCCCCTTTGGGCCCAATATGCAAATCCCATGGTTCTGCAAAGATCCTGCAAGATAAAGCACAACTGCCTAGAGGTGCCAGCCTGACTGGGCGTCCCAGTTTCAACAGTCCTCACTTCTATTTCACTCCTGTCTTTCACTCTGCCCTGCATCTACTTCCAGATAAACTGGCTGAACACAAACTTCTGTCTTATGTTCTGTATCCCAGGAACGCTTTACTTCTACCTTCTTGAGGTTGCATGATTTACTTATCATTGTTTACTATTTAGCAACTAAAGCCTTTGGGCTATAAATTTCCCTCTGAGTATACAACCCAGCCACATTTCAAGGTTATTTATATTTCATGTTTTAATTACTACTTTATTGTTAGTCAGGAACTCTGTTTTCTCTCTGAACAAGAAGTTGTTTAGGACAATTTGATGTTGTTAATTTCTTTGCTCATAATTTCTGGCTTTATTGTCTGGTGTTTAAAGTCATCCATTTACTTCTGCTTACAGATTTTTTTAGGACATGTGTATGTGTGTGTGTTGGTGGCAGTGTCCAACTGAAATATATTTTATGGATGGTGAAAAGAAAACTCACCCCAGGACAGAAAAATATATAATTCTTACTGACTACTTGAATCTACTAAGTCAACCCTACCAATTTTATTATACAGGATTTTACTCCATAATCTCGATTACCTTAACATAATTAAATACTGAGAGCCAGATCTTCCTGGTGGCCCAAGGGGTTAAATCTCAGCACTATAAAGCTATCCACAGCCACTGTAGCATGGGTTCAATCGCTGGCCAGAAAGGTGACCCACATGGCGCAATAGACTCCTGTCTTGCCTGCTGCTCCCCTCAGCAGTGCATTTCAGTAGATCCACTTGTTCTTCTTGCTACTCTTCTCTCTGATGAATGCTCACTGCCCTGCACCTCTGATCTGCACCCCAACTCTTGTAGGCATAAACAAAATATATATATATATTTTTTAAAAAGGCAAAAAACTGAGAGCCAGGAAAAAATTAATTCTCAGAAAACACTGAGCCCATTTGGATCATGGGCAAATCCTTTCTAAACTCTAACAAAAAAATAGTTCTAACACAATGATTAAACTGTAGCAAAAAAAACAGCAAAGCAAGTTTTCTGATCTTTTTTATACCACCTGTGCAATATTAATACAAGTACCACAGATCAGTCTCATTTATGAGTATTCATGTAAAAATCCTCAGTGGTAAGAAACAGATTCCAGTATTTCATCAAAGGGACATACCATAACTAAAAGGGACCATTCCATGAATACAAATAAAGCTCAGTATTAGTATATATATTGGTATCCTGATGTACAGGATAAAGATAATCTCCATCTAATGTCTGTGAAAGGCATTTGAAAAAACTCAACATTCATGCCCAAATTTTAAAACTTAATGCTATAGAGAAACTCTCATGTGTAGGAAATATGTACAAAATTAACCGTATCAGCAATATTGCAAAAAATTGCAATCAAGCCATGTTGACAGAGAATCGATAAACTTATATAGTTTTTTTTTTTTAACAAAGGAACATAACCCAGTGAAAATGAACAACTCACACACAAAACCTTGAATGAATCTAGAAGTATGGAACTATGCAAGCCTTAGATGAGAACAGACATTATGATGCCATTTCCATAAATCAAAAAGAAACATTAACATAGTTTATGACATATATACACATAAAATTATTTTTGAAAAATGTAAGGCTTTAACAAAAAACTGTTACCTCTGGGTTGGAAAGCTGGGAGCTGGGTAGGGAAGAAGCACACAGCAGCAGTACTGGCAATGTTTCCCTTCTTAACAGGGTGGTATGTTCACGGTGCTGTTTCTCTACTAAGCTTCTTAAATGACATGCTCGATGCAGTCTCTGTATAATAAAATGATATTTAAATATGTATACCTATCTGCATGATATACAGTGACATCCAGAATATGCTGTCAAATGAAAAAGGCAAAATGCAAAAGGCAGTATGCTACCTCTGGTACAAAAAAAAAAAAAAAAAACAGTTTGCAAAAATTTATGTATACCCGGTCATTTGTGCACAAAGGATAATTCTTAAATGACATGCTCGATGCAGTCTCTGTATAATAAAATGATATTTAAATATGTATACCTATCTGCATGATATACAGTGACATCCAGAATAT